GTATTGGAATATGAATGAGCTATAGAGCCCGATTATGGAATTAACTGAGTCATTCAGTCGTTCAAATAAATCCGCCATTATTTTGTTTATGGCCTTATTTACATCGGTACAATATCTGCATGTAATCCTCATTTAATTTTAGAATAACGACGGACCGTATATTTTTAATCAGTAGGACTAGGATGCGCGCTGTGATAAGCGGTTATCACGCCATTTTATCGATTTTGCCCATACATTTTGACGTCGATAAAGTATATCAGCTCGGAGTTTCCCTGCGTGATCGAATCAGAAATGAGAAGATCCTTAGGAGAACCAGAGTGACTGACATAGCCCGCAGAATCGCTAAAATCAAGTGGCAGTGGGCGGGGCACATAGCTCGAAGAGCTGATGGCCGCTGGGGCAGGAAAGTTCTTGAGTGGCGACCACGAGCCGGAAGACGTAGCGTGGGCAGGCCTCCCACTAGGTGGACCGATGATCTGGTGAGGGTCGCGGGAGGTACCTGGATGCAAGCGGCGCAGGACCGGTCTTTGTGGAAATCCTTGGGGGAGGCCTTTGTCCAGCAGTGGACATCTTTCGGCTGAAACGAACGAACGAAAGTAGGTATATCACGGCACGCATCCTAGCCCAGCTGGTCTACGCTTAACTGTTTTTGTGATTCGAAAATATTAATATTTTAATCAGACTCTTTTTATCAACCAAAATAAAACTCAATCCATTAAAACCAAATTAAGTAAAATCTTCCTAAAATGAAAAAATCGCTCTAAATCAACTTCGTTTCTATTTTAAACCCTTAAGATAAACGGATACAGATAAAGCTAAAGTTTCTTATTTCCTTTGCAACTTAAATATTTGTTGCGATTGAATTATTAGATTATTATTAATAGATTGAGTTTTAGAATAACAATTTTATTGAGTTTATTCCAAATTTTCTTGATTGAATTTTAACTGCTTTATCAATTTACGATTTGACGTCATCAGTCAAGGTATTTCAGACTAGGATTTTCCTATAGCTATCGGGAAACGTGTGGAAGGTCTCTCACAGAAAGTCATTATAGGAATATTACAAAAAAAAAATTAGTCTCACGGTCAAAAATGTCCGTAATTTCATTAAAATAATTTAGCACTCTGCTTGAATGATGAAATTTTCAAAATATACCAGTTTCAGAGTTTACATCCTTTATATCCTTACAAATTCATAAAATCTGCATCTTTATAATATTAGTGTAAATCTACATATATTTATAAAAGCGAAAGGTCACTTGATTGACTGACTCACTCATCACGAAATCTAAACTACAAGTGCTAGGAGTCTCAAATTTTGCATAGGGGTTCCTTTTAGAACGTAGGTGCTCACTAAGACGGGATTTTGCACAATGAGGATCATTTTGATTTTTAGCTGTGAATGCAGATTTATAGGTCTAAGAAATCCTTAATATACAGTTCAAAAATTTACGAAGTTATGGCCAAATTACTAAAAAAAGTTCACTGACCGCCCGAAAAGAAAAACTTGTAATGACATTTATTCATCAGAATAAAGTAAGCTATCGATAGGTAATTTTTAAAAATAGAAATTGTGAAAAATATCGCAAAAAATCCATACGCTCATACGATTCAATGGAACGCGGAGACACGATTAGGGTCTCCGCGGTGGTATATTTGGCGATTTATTCAAATAAAGTGTTCATAAGTGTTGTTAGAATCATATCTTCGTCCAAGTAAAATATAAAAATGTATAAATATTAATTTATTTACTTCTAACAACAAGTATAGCTGAGGCAGATACACTCTGCCTAGGCTACAAGACATTGCTATAAAGATCATTTCGATGTACACGCAATACCTACATGTTATTTAGTTTTTCTGAGTTAAACCTACCTATCTATTCGCCGTTCCCATGGGCGGGCCAGCTGTTCCCTCCTGGAAATCTATAAGCTGGGTATGACTCCCCCGTCCCTCTCCTCTCCCCAGGTCATAAATTGGGCATGACTTCCCCTCGGCCAGAAGTCGGGTATGATTTACATTTGGTCGATAGGTTACTTTATTTTGATGAATAAATGTTGTTAAAAGTTTTTTTCTAAAACTGATAGTTTAGCTGGAAAAAAAAAATTCCATCCCAATAGTACGCCGGCTGCGCTCGATTCGGATATAGTGACGTCACGCGGCCCTGCGTACGTTGTATTTTAGCGGCAAAAACGGCCTATGTTTATTACTTAATAAGTAATGGTCCGATTTGGATAATTCAAAAAGATATATCTTTCTTATGTCTTAAAGATTAACGCAGATACTAGTTTTATTGAATTTTCTACAACAGTACTGATCCTCATTCAACCCCTAAGGGGGTTAAAATGGGATCCACGCGTACGAAAACGCGGGCGGTCGCTATATGAAGAAAAGGTACAGACCACAACTGAACAGCACATCAGACTCTACATTTTTATTGCATCATAACACCTAATATAACCATATAAAATGCCACATGTTTATCTTGATGTACCTTCGCCAATAGCTCGAATTGTACTTCGTTGTCGAAGGCAAAAACAATGGGCTTGAAAGTGGAATGTCCCTGCAGACGATGACGTCATACGATGAAGCGTCGCTCCGCATACAAACGATACATAACGGCAAAGACCCGGAACCGTAGCGTTAGAATGTTTTAGAGATGGTCCCTTGCCTAACGATGCCCAATTTTGTGAGGGTAAATAAGTAAGATAAAGGACAACTTAGAAATTTATTTGAAGAGCAAATCCGTATAGGAAAAGGTCGCAAATCCGTTGAAACGCAAATTCAGAGTGGAGCTGAGAATAACTCCAGTAGCTTGCTAAGTAGGTACCCTAAGTGCCCTAAGTACTCGTACGGAACTATGTTTATAGTTTTCCGTAGTTGTACGTCACAATATACAAAGTTATAATGCTCCTAGTTTTAATAGAGTTAGGCGGATTTGACGAAACTCCTTTATAATTTTGTTGTTTTACTACACAACCTCAAAAACTACTCTAAGGTACACACACATTTACAAAAAGACTACTTGATCTGGCTACAGGCCTGGACCCATACATTTAAGTGGCATGTCCAAATTGAGCAAACAACTTTCATACTGTCAATAATGCGCAGAAGTCGAACCCGGAACTCCAGGATCGGCCAAACGAGTCGTCATGAGCACGTATTGACGATTACCACAGTACAAATAGATAGAGTAGTATTTAATAAGAATCCAATAGTGAGCCAAATATAAATATAAAAATGGAAACTCATTATTAATTTGTTTGCTTAGCTAGTCATTAGTTAGTCATACTCCTCCTATGTTCTTCTGATTAATTTCGTTGCGGGTCCAATGACAGTTTAACTTTCCCCCAGGACAAACTTGACCTTCATTGGTTGGGTTTTTATGGCGGTCAAGCTGTAGATTCTGGCTACACAGGAGTTGCAGCGGTTGGAACGAGAGGTGGGAATAGTCCCGTTTTTAGCTAGTCATTATGATGCCTTAGTAGTCACAATAATGTTGTTTAAGACGATGAGAGAACAAACTAAAAAATTAATTGATGAGAGGGTAGACTTTGGTTATGCGACATACTCCTTGAGTATTGTTTTTTAATTGATAACCTGATTACTCGTTATCGAGTAAAATAAGCTACTATTTTATGTCATTCTCCTCTCCATTTGTCTCTGGTAAATCAAAAAGTGTCGTGCTCCTGAATTGAACACTAAATGATGATGATTCGTGTGACACTTGATGGGACCAAAGAGGTGTAAACTTTACTTGATAAAATAAATAAATAGACGAAGATTGACTTGAGTGAGAAAGACAAATAAGAACAAGCGTGAATTTGCTTATTTACTGACGTAACATAACTAACATTTGTGTTAGTCGAGCAAACAACAAGTGATTCTCTCGCAACACAGTTCTGCGATATAATTACCAATTAGTGTTGGAATCTTGACGCTAAGCTTTTGTCTCTCTCAGTTACATAAACAATTAACAAGATAGACAGAGACTGTTAGAGATAATAATCACTATTCAATACGACTTTATGGTTCTATAATGCTAGACAAAGGTTTTATAAATACAAATTATCGAGGTCATAATGGGCTCTGTAGAGCAATTAGGAGAGATGACAACTTTTATTTATGGTATGATCAAGTTTTTTTAATATTTAGGTATTAATAATCTATACTAATATAGCTGAAGAGTTTGTTTACTTGAACGCTATCTCAGGAACTATTGGTTCGGTTTGAAAATATTTTGGGTTTGGATAGCCTGTTTATCGAGGAAGGCTTCAGGCATTACAAAATCACAGTAGTAGGCACAGCTAGTGGTGTAACATTATTGTGACAGTTGCAAAGTAAAATATAAAGACTTTTAATTTAAGCAATAAGTAAGCAGTATGCTCCATGAAAACCCGTTTTATTTATAAGAGAATAAAGTTTTCTACTCCATGCACTTTATTTGTGGCCATATCGTGCTGAATGAATGTGTGAATCGTGGGAACTCTTACTGCCAATCCAATTCTCTTGAGAGACGTCAAGGCTTTCAAGTACAAAAGGTAAAGGAGCTGGATTTAGCGAAGGCGTCCGATTTTACACTTTATTATTTGGCGAGAGAATACTTTTCACTTTGTTTATTGGATACGAAAATTGTCGTCAGGATTTTTGTCTTAGTGTCTGCCATGTCTTTAAGCCATCACCATTATAAGAGTTATGTGTAAGTACGTAATGACATTTTAATGGGAGTACTACAGGGTACCATTTTGAGACCATTGAATTTTACATATTATTGCAACTTGCAAGCAAAATTCAGATTTGTATATTGAAATGTGTGTATGTAATACTTATCTGGCATCAAAATGATTAGTGTTTAATATTATTTTGCTGCCCTACTTGGGTATAGTGTTCATAACAATTTTCTGGTTTTATTAATTATTTCGCATTTTTACAATTGGACCAATTGGCGATTGTCAATGACGTGATTTTAATTGAAAAATATGATCTTTCTTAATACATACCTAAAGCAATACATCCTGTGATGAAAATCCAAGTACTTTCCACGATCATTGTTCGGTATTCACTGCACAGCGGTTGTTATTGTAACCACTCTCAGTCGGCGTCGCTTCATTTGTGTTGAGTTTTCACTGCACTTCGCTATCATCACTTCACTTCATTTAGCACTTGTCAACACTTTCTCACTTTTCACTAGGAAATTATTCTGCAAAATCTGGAACAAAAGATAGCAAACGTTAATTTTATAATATTGTTATTATACTCTACACTGGTAAGCAATATTTAAAGAAGACAATAGAGAAAATGGGTTAATCGAAAAACGACCTAGGGCCTAAGAGTTAGATGATTTCGGTCGAAAGTTTTTAAAAGAAAACAAATAAGTACATAATAGGTAAAACTTTTGAGCTGAGTGACCCATGTCAGATGCTTATGGTGGTTGACACCAGTTATGACCTTGGTGTCAGCTGCTACAAAAAGCAGATGTACGAGATGAAAAAAAACTTTGTTCTTGATTAAGTGAACGCGAAACAGGTTTTGATCATCTTAAATTATTATAATTTGAACTGTCCCTGAGTATTTATTTTTTTGTTCTTGTTCTGTATGTGGTATACAATAAATTAATTAGATTATTTATTTATTTATTTTTTTCCACGCATTTACACTATCATTACAGGTAATATCTAATGCGATAGAATATTCTACATATTCTTTAAACTTAATAATAAATTGTTATTATTATATTATTATTATGATATAACATAATTACAAAGTACTAATTATTCATTTTTTACTACGCAGTAATTAGATATTCATAATAGCTTTCGAAACAATATCCACTTATTACTATTTCCTGGCAGTTTTCAATTAATAAAATTATTTTCACAAAAACTTCACTGAATCCAAGTTCAATTTCACCACACCAATTCAGTACACGACAATTAATTCAGATATTCAATTACGAAGCATAATGTACGTGATTAATATTCAATTATGTGCATATTATTTTAATTCATCAGTAGGGGCAGCAACGTTTGTGTATTTCACTGTGGTCACTCTTGCGGCAAACGTGATAGCACTGGTTTGATAATAATTTATCGAATAACTTGAACAAATTATTGACAAACATTTTAAAGCGAATCCATTCACTAAATTGGTTTGAATAAAAGACATTTTCTTATAATTAGACAATATTTTACTTTAAAGTACTTGTACGAATAGCAGTTAAAAATGTTTAGCTTTAATATGATGATTTACAAGATAGTCTTATATTAAAACTATAATCTTGCAAAACTACATGTAATGTTGAGCAATATATTTAAAAAAAAATCCTTGTGCAAATACATTTAGTGACAAAATTTCGTTAAACCGTTTCTTTGAAAATACAAACAAAAGTTACAATGCTTTCTACAATCAAAAGAATCCATTTCTTAAATGAAATTTCGTTCGAACACAGTTGAATCTGTGAAGAATTTTCCATCGTATTCTTTAGTCTGACCTCTACTATAACTATTTATTAGTCTAAACAAATAAAGAAATTTTGACTTTTGACTTTGACTTTATATTATTTACTTGACTTATTATTTACTTTGGTTTTATTAGGAAACAATAAAATTCGGCTTGGGTTTAATCTTTGTTTGAGCAGAAATTATAATATGCTTGCGGCAAAAATTGAGCTATTATTCGCAGAATCATCTTCCACAATCAGGACCCCATTAAACAAAGAAAGATTACAGTAAAGATTAATAATACTTGGAGTTTCACTAAACTATAGCGGCAATCATTAACTTGATACCCACACAATATTGCCAGTGATTCTGCTAATCAAAGCTACTATAGCCACAATGACAGAGCATACTAGCGACTTTCACAGGTACATAAATAACGACTAGAATTACTCGGAAACTTTTTATTTAAGTAGCAGAGGCGGGTGAAAGTTGCTTTAACGTAATACTTCAATCGCATTCTCATGGGCGTTGTGACATATTTCTATAATGATGAGCGTTATCACAGCACAGTTTTTGTATGTTATTTTCTACGATTTTTCCTTAGACAGGTCAGAACGTATGTCGATTGATGGGATTTGGTCAGAACGTGCGAAAAGTGCGAAGTGCTTGGGTATACCTTCATTTCATTAATAAAACTTTGAGGAGATCTTCGTAAACACGTCGACTCATCGAGTTCTTAATGACAATCTGCAGCGGTCCCTTAAGAATTCCACCATCAATCTTATCACATAAGTATTTAGATACGCCATTTCTACAAAACTGGTCCAAGCCATTGCGTCGTCAATCAAGCAATGGTATGTTATATTCAGTAAGTAAGTACTTCGTCCATATTCCCAAATCATCACCTTTACCTTCAAATACAAAGACCTCAAGGTTTCTGTGGGTCTACTTGGCAAGCAAATTTGGCACCTATGATATGGCGGAAGGCTTTCCTAAGTAAGCGTAATTCCACGGTGGGCCCGCACTTAAACTTAAATGACGTCGTTACTCGAAGTTAAGTTCAATATGGCTGTTTCAAGCTCTATAGTTGATACCTACTCGTACTTATCCTTTGTCTAATTTTTGATTAACTGAACTTTGAATAGACAAGAACTCTAGATAATAAATGTTACTAGTTTTGAAGGTACTACACTACTTCCAAATTGTACCCTATTAAGTTGATTAGATATTAGATGATGTTAGAAAATTCTGAAGCAAAAGTTTTAGTTTTCGATTCGAAATAGTGCTTGCTTTGATGTCCACAACGAACTTACGACTATACCATTACGTTGAATTGAAAACTAACAGTTAAGAGGATCTTTTAAAAATACTCGATGAACTGTTTCATTCTATAATAAGATTCATTTTTTTTTACTTTTTATGCTGTCTATGATTATACAAGTAAGCCTCAATCGTTAATATTATTCACCAGCCGAGACTCCAAGTTCTTATTTTGATAATTAGATTCAAACTGTTTAAACTTACTAGTAATGAGTTCTTAACCACGGCTATGCGCGAAATAATAAGCTTTCATTTGCTTTTACAAAGTAACTAGTAAGTTTTATTAGTTACAAAGTAAACTTCTTACAAAAAGTACGCAGTGAAATATGGTCATCTTACTTATGCACGATATTCAATGAGGTATGTTAATACCAGCATTATTTATTGAAGTGCCAATTATTGCACTTTATTTTTTGTAAGTTAACATGTAAATGAGTGTTTACTCAACTACTAAAAATACACGTAGAAAGTACCTATATACCTAGCGTTCTGAGTTTACTCTGAAGATGCAGTATCTATACTAATATTATAAATGCGAAAGTAACTGTCTGTCTTGCTTTCACGCCTAAACCACTGAACCGATTTTGATTAAATTTGGCATAGAGACAGTTTCGGTCCAGGGAAAGGACAGGATAGTTTTTATCCCGGTTTTTAAACAGGGACGCGCGCGATAAAGTTTTTCTGTGACAGACAAAATTGCACGCGGGCGAAGCCGCGGGCAGAAAGCTTGTTTATAATATACACATTTCAATATGCGACAGGATTTTTCTTCCGCGACTCTACACAAATTATAGATTTTTGTTCAAATATTGCACACACAGAAACATCTTTGATTTGACAAAGTACAAATCCAAGACAAAGACATATAAAATTTCAAAATACCAAAAACAATTTACGCTATTTAATGCGTTTCTTCTCAGCATAAGCTTGCCATAATATGTTTGTCTCGAAGCGCTGGTAGGGCCCAAAAGATAAGGAGACATGTAAAGTGCCCCATAAGGGCTACCTTTTCTTTTTTATTATTTACTAATTTTTTTGACGTTCATAAGTGCCACTTGTGGTCAAAACTGAATAAATATTTTTTGATTTTGATTTTGATAATGCATCAACACAAAACTTAGATACAAAATTCCAAAATATGAACAACATTTTACGTTCAAATGCGACAGCGCATCAAAAACACGTAAAGTACAGACCAGTCAAAGGAAAAACACCGCAGTTATCGCTTTTCAAAGCCATGCTTCACATAATGGTGTTCGAATTACAGTGTTATCCCTTTGAACGGGGTGCATTATGACTTTCGCGAGCTATTTTGTTTTGATCGTTTGTTCTTTTAAAAGGGATAGCATGATCCGTTTAAAAAAAACCTTTTAGAAATTGATAGATTCATTATTTCCAAAAGTCAAGGCAAAGTCAAAAGACTTTAATAATCCCCAGAAAACCTTGACCTTCATTGGTTGGGTTTTATAAAAACTCATAAAACTAATTTTGTTTTTGCAAGTCTGCTTTTAAAAAGCGTTTTTACACGTCCCATTAAATGGAACGGGACAATAAATGGACCAATGCTGATAAGTAGCCAAGCAAGAAACTCCGTCAATATAATATAGGCGATCAAGCTGTAGATCCTAGCTAAACAGGAGTTGCAGTGGTGGAAACGAGAGGTGGGATATAGTTCCGGAAAATCCTCCGAAAACCCACAGTGCCATATTTTTAGTGCCATAAAGAGAAACTATGTCACGTATTTCACGAAACATTTTAGTTAGTATGTAAGTAAATCTTCCTCTTTTAGAAACAAACACGCTAAAGTATTTGAATCGTTTAGAAAGTGGAATGTCTTAGTATTAATGATTTAATAACCAGCCAGCCAGGAAAATAAATTCACTTTCTTAATATGATTGAAACTCAATTCTTGGAGCTAGCCGGCTAATTAACTATCTAACAGCATATAATAATAAACGAGATGAGTAATAATTGGGGATTTTTTTTGTTATGTCAAAACTAACAATGTATACAGAGCTAATAGCCAATACAATAGTGTATGATGCAGCAATATTGATTTTGCATCGTTGAAATTTGATCATTTTATTTATCTAACGCTAGAACTGGAAATCCATTAGGCTAATATCAGTTTAACCAACTGTTGTGATACCAACCGTATATAAAGAGTATGAGCGGAAAGAAAACAACGACCCAAGTTTTGAATATAAACATGATTTATGAAAGAAATATGAATGAGACCGCTTGCCACCACCGAACTGAGTTGTCACCGTATTGATGTTGTTATACTCGTAGCATTACGGTTTACGGTTTAAGAACTTTATTTCTCATAAGAATTAACAATAATTCACTTCCTAAGAAACATGATGACGAATATTATGCTTTTGGATGATGTCATAAATATGTAACTATCTACTGCGTTATATTTTATTGTAAGTTTACTTGAATTGTAAATGATATGTTCAATATTAAGATTTTGCTTAACACTCTCTACATTATTTTTGAGCAGGTCTATTATCTTTCAAAACTATTCAATAAGTTTTTCATTTGAAATTCTACACTAGCAGCTCACCTCAGCGTGGATATAATAATATATCCACAATGAAGTAAGAAATATTCGACACATAGTCGTACAAATTGCAAAACAAGCAAAGTTGATTTTATTTTGATTAATTATTTTTCGAGCATGGCCTATCACTACCGTGCCAACCCCACCATCTTGGAAACTAAAGGTGGTCCACTTGATCACAGCGCGTCGGCCATAATGCACCGAGCTTTCTCTTGACGGACCGCGGCCGCATGCGTAATTATTGGAGTGAGCCGATTGTAAACATAATCTCTTTCACGAAGAAAATAAAGAAGAAACTTGCTTAAAAAATTCCATTAAAACAAATACAAAGAATTACACGAGCTGATTCCACCAGCCCCTTTCATCACCGGAGAACCAGACGCAGGTTAGCGTACCATCCCTATATTGTCCACATTCCACCAGCTCAAACCACTAAGCGTTTCTATGACTCTTTTATAATGCGAACAGCTAGGGACTGGAATTCGCTGCCTGCTGCTGTCTTTCTCGAAGACTATGTTTTTAAGGCGAGAGTGAATAGTAACTTATAGGGCAGATATGTACCATCCTAGACTGCATCCCACTTAACACCAGGTGCGAATGCGATTGTGGTCGAATACCTGCCTTGTTATACTTACATAAAAAACATCAAGATCGCAAATAAGACATTCACTAGCGAACATCAACATCCCTTTTTAGGTATAACTTCCAGAAGAACAGAATATGATATCACCCATTCTTTCCGTGGATCGTATAATGCGACTTAGGGACAAGACAATATGCAAAGATTACCTCCCCAATCGACCAGTAAAGAGTGATGGTCAAATCTTCCAATTGTCAAAAAATAAAGGTCGTGCGTGATTTCACAACATTTTGCAACAGTATAATATTGTATGTTTGGACGATTTCCCAGGTACTACTTATACTCTTAAGATTAAAAACTTGGTTAATCGGTAAGCAAGTCTATATTTAAATACCCATTGTAATTAGTTAGTTAATTTATTGCAATTAACAAAGTAACGAATAAAACTTAACATTATTTTTAAACTAGAGCTGTCAATAAATTATTAGATAGCCTATAAGTTAATGTCACGTAAACGTAAACAAAAGTATATCAGCCAAAAAATGTTCTCATTATCTGAACTTAAGTGCCATAAAACGTCCCAACAACATTTCTTTATGTAACAGGAAAATTGGCATTTCTTGAAATAAACTTACTTTGTGTTTCGGAATTCACAAACTTTGTGTAATTCAACAATACGAAAATATCATAATGTTTCGGAATTTGTGAATCATAATAACCTTTGTAAAATTAACCAAGAAATTCATTCCTTTTTTGTTGATTCAAACAACAACTTCTTTTAGGCTGAGTTGCACCACCTTAAGGTTGGGTAACACCATCTTAGTTTAACTTTAACTTTAAAAATGTCAAGCTCCATTATAAAAAGCACCGGTTATTGTTATCAAAATTAAGGTGATGCAACTCAGCTTAATACGGAAATCCATTTAATAGATTTTAACAGACTTGACGTGTGTTATAAAAATATGGTGCAAACCAGCCTTAGAATTCTTTTAAACAGTTTTCACATACTTCAATTCTCGTGTCCACTTGCAATGATAATCAATTAAATTAACATTAAAACGTGTCTTTTAGTAATTGCAATTGTATAAAAAAAAATGTAGTAGGTAATTTGATGCGAAGACATGTAGCCTGGCATGTAAGTTAACTGCGATCGGCCAGGCGACATTAAATACATATTTACCATTCCCAGTACGTCATTAAAGTTTAAATTAATACGGTATAGTGTTGGGACGCTTTGATCTATGTTCGATTAATATCGATGAGTCTATTGGATCGTGATTAGAGGACATTAATTTAGAACAATAACAAGATAATAAAAAATGTTATTGACCAGACCAATGATGTTATAGGCCAATAAATAACTATTTAGTGTATGTATTTTTTTAGAAACTCAATACAGGGTAATTAAGTTTGGAAAAACAAATTATTGAGCATTTTATTACACCTTTACTTAATCGAAATAAATCAAAATAACAAAATCGATTTTGTAGTATTTGTTAGTTATGTAAGTAATCTTCATCATCATCATCATTTCAGCCACAGGACGTCCACTGCTGAACATAATAAATAATAAGTAAGTAATCTTATTTGAAAGTAAATACGAGTAGGTCCTGTAGTCATCTTTTTTATTTGATAGTCTAAGAGACAAAATAAAACACGTAACGTATCAGGTATCTACAGAAGTTATTGAATATCCTTCAATTTATGGATGGTATTCAATACCATCGATAAATACCATCGATGGACTCTAACATCGTACAGCACTAGCCTACGGACTATATAACGATTGTACGACTAATGACTGACTGATGTAGTAATTACATTGCTTATAAAGTCACGCGTTACTATGATTAAATTGCTTTTGTACATTGACGTCTTCGTATAATGGAGGCAAAAAATGGAAATTTAACGACTTTTTATACTCGACATAGTATTAACGTACGTTAACAAGTACATCGTGTACTTACATATTAATTACAAAATTAGTAGACAAAGGCTTAGTCCGTATACTCTTTTGTAAATATGTATGTGAAAATGTCAAGTCAACATTGGAAAATAAGAAAGCAATGACGCAATGCACAGCATTAGAGAAAGTATAGACAGAAAAGCATCAAAGTGCTTCGTCACTTGATTCATATCCAGTGTTCATTCATTAAAGTAATAGAAAGCTATTGATGTAACCGACACCACCTGATTGATCCGGATTGGTTAATCGAGACACATTTGGAAAACTTCCGTAATTGCGATAAAGACCATTTAAAAGTACCTTTATGACGAAAAACAGCTGTAATAGAGCATCCTTATTGCAAGTATCAAGAAGATTTGCTTATGTATTTCACAATTCTCAACACTTGAGTTCACTTCACACATCCAAGTAATTCGAAAGTTTGAAAAACAAAATGGCGTTCGAGCGACGCGCGCGCACCGGATCTTGAGGCGGACTGGTCTCACGCAGTCATGACAATGACATCAAACCCCACTACTAACGAGAGCCACAACGCAAATAAAACCGTAGAGCGAATGACGTAAGGCGCATAATAAGTTGTGAAGGCGTTTCGAATTAACAAGTTGGTGTCGAATTGGGGAAAACACAAGATTTGATTGCAATCGGCGATGTTTAAGCTACTCACGTCGGTTGTGAAGACAAACATGCGGTCAATAGTTTGGACGACAGGTGGGCACGATTGTGCTAACAGACTGTAACATTTGCAAAGTTTCAATAACACCACTTTTTGATGATTTGATGTGTTAGTAACATTCATGTGATTTTAAGTATAAGAAGAGATGACAAATATGGAAAATGGAAACCAGTTTTAAACGGCAAGTAAATCTAGACCTCCGAGATATAAGTTGGTTGATTAGACGATTGTGTGGTGAAATCATTATAAAATAATATTTATCTTCCATTTTGGTAATTGAAAGGGATTTAGGGTCAAAAAACTACAAAAGGGACTATTATGATAGGGAATTAGGATCCTTTATATTGGACTATTATATTTTCAAGATAGGTGTTAGGTTAGACTATTGACCTGCTAGTCTCCGACCTAGATTCGTGGGTCAGCCATTAAAAAGATTTAGCGTTGTAGATCCTAGACTTTAGCTGTCCGATAAGAAGTTCATTTCGTCTTCAGTCCGATGGAGCCAAGTTAGCCTATGGCGGTTCATTACGCCTGACATGGGGTAGAGACCAGACCATAGATAATATGATAAGGCAGCCCATTGTTTGAGGCATCACGTCGTGTCCGACTCGGACCTTCTATGAATGAACTAACGAGAGCACATCAAGCCAAGCTGTAGCATCTTATGTTAATGTAATAGATGCTATTTTGCAATGAAATTGTAATTTCTTATAGGCCATTAAATTCAAACTAAACCTCGCATACTCCTAGAGTAAGGACGACGTCACATCAATTATACAAAAATCTAGTCGACTCCACAAAGTGTCGACTAATGTCAATCGCTGTGATGCTGTAACGTTGCCTAATGTACGAATATTATTAGAACTAACTAACGGACTTGTTATGGTTTTTAATAAAGTTCTTATCTAGGTATCTATCGATAAATGAAACTTGTTACTCAGGCGGCGAACACAAAGAAAAATCTCTCGGAAACTCTACGCAGATGTTGAGAATTCTTTTTTTGCAACAAGTCACACATTTTTTTTAAAAAACTTTCAAGTTTTTCAAAATAGAATTGCCTAAGGTGGGCATCGAACCCATGCGATTGCTCTTCCATCTGATCTACTTAGACACTGGATGAACCCTTCGAACTCGTCGTTAATATTCTCCCTGTGTGTCCAATGCTTTATAAGGCATTGCCTGACTATATCTTACAAACTTTGACCTCTTACATAAACATTGTGATTAGTTAATACTTAACTGCTCTCTCGCTTTTTATCGGCAATCTGACGACCGACAAAAAAACAAATGACTATCTAACAAATCGCTGGTCACAAAAAGTTTATACTGTAGAGCGTAGTGCACGATCAATTTTAAATCAAAGATTATTCTAACTGCTCAGATACGCGATTAAGAACTTTATGATTAGTCAGTTATAAAACGATTTAGTTGAAAATTGTATGAAAATGACAGTACTATCGACAACAGTGTTTTTTTTATTTTATTTTTTTATTAGGGACAACAAACAATTGTACAAACGGTTTTACAAAAAGTCTTACAGATATATCTTAAATAAATGCACAACCAGTACCGTTATCCACGAAAATAAGTGTTATCTGCCCATTGCCGGTCATGTCGTCTCGTTCTATCGCAAAGAATCACTATTTGATGAGAGCGAGAGCAAAAACGGAAATGTATAGTTAGCACTGGCCGTGTGTACATCTCGATTGATTGCATATTGATTATTGAATCGACTACCAGAGCCGATATGACAAACAGTCGTTTAACTTTAAAATAGTCGGCTTATCCTTAACCAATGGTAAATAGATGAGCTTTGAACAGCAATTTAAATGAAAGAACTGTTTTTAATAACCGTCCGTTGACGTCCTACCATCCTCTTTGCACTGGAGGGAAGTCAAACCATATCTTCGATCTCCTTATACATATGTTCTTCAAATTTTTTTCGTTGCGGTTCCAATGTCAGCTTAACTTTCGCTCGGAACAAACTTGACGTTCACTGATTGGGTTTTATTGACGGTCAAGCTGTAGATCCTGACTACACTGGTTGCAGCGGTGGGAACGAGAGGTGGGAATAGTCCCGTAAACGTCTGTTGAGTAATCCAAGCTTAAGATACTCTTTGTTAGTGTTTCCCATATTTAGAACAGTGACACTTTAAATCAAAATACAGTACATTAGCTTAAACATTTTTGTAGCAAAACAGCACACATTACAATTGTTTAAGATGCCCCAGTTAAGCTTGATGTGCTCATTCACATTAATGTGCCGGTATAAGTATTACTTAAGTAGGCTTTCAAGAAGAACCCACATTGAAGACGTTGTATCGTGTAATCTAAGCCAGCTTAGCTCAGACTTAGGAGAATACTTTTCATATTGCTTGGAGAGATTTTAAAGAACAATAAGATTAACTTCATAATAGGTAGGTATTTATACAGATTAAGGTTAATAAAGGAAATTTATTAAGATTTTATTCAAACTCATGATTGAGTTGTGAAAGATACAGCGTATAAAAACTTTTGTAACTGTAGTAAAATGTTTAAGTTACTTAAATATGTAAAACATTCCTTCTTAAATCAACAGGGAGTTTCCCTGTTGTTACGTCTTGGATTTTTATTTTCCTGGTATTTTTAGGTATTTTTAGGTACAAGCTTTTTGTACTATGCTTAAATCATAGTTTCATCTGAAAAATAATTACTTAAGACCCGATTCGACCAAACTTTTATCCGAGAATAACTCCTGGTATAAATAACTGACACATTGACAGTTTCAGTATGGGAAATATGTCAAAACTGACGATTTATTTTGAGATTAATATTTATTCTTGTTTGGTCGAATCCATCCTAAGTAATACAATCTACATTTTACATAATTTATGACTCCGAAATTCCGATCGTTATTGTCATTTTTCTAAAGCACCTAGGCTATAGTTTGACGTCCAACGTTTCATTATTTTAATCACCATTAAATAGGTAATTCGCTTTAAACGTTTTTTGAAACATACAAACTCAAATTTACTCTCCGTTGCGGGTGTAATCCGATGGATTATACTTGTTTACTTTCATTAACAATGAATGATCGATGCCCAGTATCGTAATGGATGTATTAATATGCTCACAACTCGATGATGAATCAATCATTTTAATACGATGTCAGTGATTGTACATACATAATAATATGCCCGCACATAGAGCCTAAAACTATGGCATTTAATTTATTTATTAATTTATGGCATTTAACAATGCTTTAGTGCATAAAAGTTTAAATAAATAAATAAATAAAATAAATTATCCTTGAACTCTCACATTGATTTGGATATGTCAACGTGAAATTGTAAACTCCGTCAATTTATAATTGATTGAGATTCTAAAAGTGGGTTAGGTTAGATTAGATTGTAATCTAACTAGGGTCAGATTATAATCTGACAGAATTGATACTTAATTTTACGGTGACATATAAATATTGAGGCTTTTCGTATATCACCTGTAAAGCGCATATTCAAATTAATGTTCGTATGAATATTATTCTACGTATAAACCAAGAGCTTAATTGGCTCGAACAACTTAAGGCTTGTAATAAAATCTTAACTCAACTTGCTTTAACAGGATTAGCAAGAACTATCCCGACTAAAAAGTGGTCGTGTGAACAAGAAGAAAATTTCCGTTTACCACGTACCTCTTATAGAAACGATAAGTAAGGGCCCTTTCCCATGGTAGTCCAGTAGATCCCACAAAACTATACTTATGTGCTTACACGATATTATCCCGTTTTGGATAGATTTTTTGCAAGAACGATTTTTTCGGAAACGGGTGTTTGCAAAAAATTGTATGTACGAAGCTGCTGGTGGGAACACTTCTGTTAAAATAATACTTGTAATTAAAACTGGATCTTGTTTTTATTAGCCCAGTTTAATGCTTTGCAAAAATTTGCAAACCTGTCCCATAAAACAATGACAAAACTAAATTCGGAATTCCAACGGATTGGTTTTTTGCGGGACCCTGCAAACGGGTTATTCGTGTGACTAAACGGAATCCTGCAAGAATCTGTACCTACAAAAAACGGGATATCCCCATGGGAAAGAACCTTTATAGAAACGACAGATAAGTCCACAATCAATCGCGTAGTACATCGTGTGCGACGGCGGGATGCGGCCGTGTCTCGATTGGCTTGGCATGACGCTACCGTTACGGCGAGTCACTGACCAGCCGTGTGTGCCAGCTACGATTAGACGATGAGCATTCAATTATTTGGCGTAGAACAAAACATGTCGGCCGTTTGATGGTTGACTACTATGCCGAGGACGCGGGTTCGATTCCCGCACTGTACAAAGATTTGTGTACAGGAACATTTGTTGTTAGTCTATGTGTTTTCTCTCTACAATGTATTTTGCTTATTTTGGTGGGATTAGAAGCGCAGTGTAAAATATCCAAGGATATATTATTTTATACAAGCCTTTGCCCGCAGCTTCACCTGCGTGAAATGTAGTATGTCACATCGTCATAAATTAGTAATAAATGTTATTCTGGGTTATAAACAATAATACTGTAAAGTTTTATCAAAATAAATTTAGTAGGTTTGCGTGAAAGAGTTACAAATATTCAGACATCCATACAAACTTTCACATTTATAATATTAGTAGGATCCGTAGGTATACCTTGATTTTTTAGAATCCAGCAGAGATGTAAACAAACACTTTCATATACAATTACACCATAATCACTTACGTGTTCATAATATCATACACATTATTTAACAAGCCCATGAAACCAACTTTATTTTCACGTTTATACAAGTTTGAAATCAATCTTTGAAACAAATTATT